AAAATGATTTGGAGAAAACTGACAGGAGTTTTCATAAGAGCTTTGAGAGTGTTCCACTTCACAGTCCCTTCTTCTCAGATAGGGGTTGTTCAACTGCAGTCTGTGGACCAAATCTTCCCTGTTGCCAGCATAAATTTTTCAAGTAAAATTTTATTGGAACACAGTCATGCCCATTTGTTTACTTACCATTTTCCTGTTTTCACTACAGCAGAGTTGAATAGCTATAACCAAGACCTTATGGTTTGTAAATCCTAGCATAGTTTACTGTCTGGTCCTTTACAGAAAAGCTTTGCAAATAATGGATTTTACTCTTCTCGGAACCTCACCTTTGTGATTTTCCTAAGTCCACAAATTCTTAATTTGGGATCTAAAAGTCTATGAATGCAGTTAGATAATCTTTAACCTCCTGAAATTGGAAGGAAAAATTGGATTTATGGACATTTTTCTGGGAAAACTTTCCACCAGCTTTTAAAAAGAATCTCAATTTCCTCCAAAATAAGATATGTCCCAGTCATCTCCCCAGTGTGTTCCCTGGCAATAGAAGATTTTAAAACCCAAACTTATTTTGTTGAATAAGAAATGTGCACTGCTACCAAGAGGTAAATATCATTAGATATCAGTTTGAAATTGCGGTGAATTACTCAACTCCTAATATAAGGTCTCCTGTCCATGTATATCACTGGGCTCACTCCTCTGACCCAGAGTTAATATAGCAGTACTATAAATATAGACTGTATATTAACTATTGTCATGTTTTTTAAAGTTTCCAAAGAATTACTTCCTTAAATAAAGATTTAAATGCATACAAGGTGGTACATAGCTTCATTGCAAGAGAATTCAAGGAAAAAACAGATCAGCCTATGTGTGCAACACAAGTGTTCTGTTGTCATTTTCTTGGGAAAAGTCACAAGATATGGTATTTATTCTTCATCTATTCATCGTCTTAACTCTTCAAGAAAATACATCTTCTGGTGAAGGGCTCATCATCTACAGATGTGCTTAAAAGTTCTTTCTCTCCAGTTTCAAGAGGGGCGGCAGGGGCGGGAAACCTGCTTGAGTCCATGAAAGGAAGGAAGCCTGTGAGCGTGGGCAGCAAGTAGGCCTGACTGAGAAGGATGCTTATCTACCAAAGAAGATGGAGACTTTTCATAACAAGACTATATTCAGAGCTAAGGAAAGCAACCAAAACAAAGTATCAAGTCCAGAGGAACTAGCTAAGAACGGAAATGGTAGAGCAAAGAGCAAGAACAGATTCCAGAGGGCAGATAGCCAGGGTTCAGAACTGTAGCTCAGAATGGTGTGCTGTGAGTAATCCTGCGGTCAGACTCCTCTTGATTAGATGTTTGCAGCTTACTATTGAAAGACATGGAGGTTTAAAAGAGTAGATCAGGGGTCTTGACAATGGGATGGCATTACATATCATATATAAAGATATAAGCAGGTAAGTGCTTGACTACATTTTTACTTAATAGCAAGTCATAAAAAGGGCTCTTGGGAAAATGAAGCTGTTAAATATATGTAGACAAAAATGAACAAAAACAATTTCAGCAGACTGGTTAAACTGTATAACCTGAAACAGTATCTCTCATTGTGTGGTCTGTGAAATCCAAGAGAGATAGGGGTTCCAGATGCAAGAATTTGAGCAATGTGCATACTCCATCGTGTGTAAAAGACTCTCAAAAGTCCTTCAAGAAGCATCCCGGTTGACTTTGTTTAGCCCAATATTTTCATTATTTTATAGTTCACTTGGAATTTTTTTCTTTTGAAAATAGACCTTGCAAATGCTTACTTAGCAAAAAGCCAAACAAATTAGTTGCTTTGATCAAAATTTCTTAATTATATAGTCTTCCAAATCGTAAGATAACCACTTATCAAGAAAATTCTGCAGTCATGTTTAAAAGATAAAATTAAATGCACCCTACATCTTACACTTACACCATCTACCAGAATAAACTCTAAATGGACCAGAAATGTAAATGTAAAAAATGAAACCATACAAGAAGCTGGAAGAAAACTTGGGTGAATTTCTATAGCACCTCATAGTAGGGAAAAGCTTCCTAACCGTGACTCAATATAGAGAGGTGAAAAAGAAAAGAAAAAAAGATACATTTGACTACAAAAAAGTAAAAAAATTCTGCATTAAAAAACTCATCATAAGCAAAGACAAATGACAAAGTAAGGGGAAGAGACAAAAAAGTGTGATAGAAGAAGGGGCAAAAGATACAAACAGACCAAAAGATGATAGAGACAAAAATATACACATATGTGTGTATATTGCATACATGAATATAGTCAGCTCCACTCATAATGCTCATACTGTAAACAAATGCAAACAAAACTGCTTTCAGACATCAGTTCTCATCACTCAGATTGGAAAGCATTAAAATTTACTCAACAACATATTCCTGTGCCATGTCTGTGGGAAACCAGCACTCATACCCTACTGGTGGGAATGTAGATGGGTATAAATCATCTGGGGAAATTTGTCAACATACAACAAAACCAATTTTGCATTTATCTTTTATTCCAAGAATCCCACTTCTAGGAAATTACTTTGAATATAGACCTTCAATTATAAAAAAATTGAATATGCCCAAGGTTATACTTTTCCGCATTAGTTATAATAAATGTAAAATATGGAAAACAAGTTCAAACATGGGAGAATGGTAAAATAAATGACAGTCCATCCACAGGGGGGAGCTGTAGACAGCTGTTTAAAAAAAAAAAAAAAGAAAAAGAAAAAACCACACAAGGAACCTCTAAAAACTGGTACCAGTGAGTTCCGGGAAGTGTTAAGTTGTAAGGTGAAAAAAATGAAAGTGTGAAAGAGTAGTAGTAGTAATCTACCTTTTACATAAGAAAGAAGAGTAATAAAAAATAAATATATATCTGCTTATTTTTTGAAAAAAAAAAAAAAAAGACATAGGAAATACAGAACTAATGAAATTGAGAGTTGTAAGTGGGGATGTAGGTGGAAGTGATGAGAGGAGAGGAACATACTGGAATAAAAGAATGTAAGCCTTACCTGAATATGACTTTCTGTATAGTTTTGACTTTTGAACTGTTGATGTTTTATGTACTCAGCAACATAATAAATATCAACAAGATTAGAAAAGGGAGCAGGGGGCTCAGAAACTAACTCAAGTAAATTTTTGAACGTAGCATTCTGTCTGAAAAAAAAAAAAAAAACTTCAACAGAGAACCCTGGAGAGTAAGTTTAGGGTGTTTTATTGGTTGCTTTATTTTGGTTGCTTAAGCAATTCTGACACTACTTTTGGCATTTTGTGTACTTCAGGAGGTGAGATGTGAAAGAGGAAAGGTGAGAATGAATTGGGGTTTGTATTAGTATTGCAGAAATCAATATGAGCCTATAGTTGTAGATCAGGGTCATCAAACTTTTTCTGCAAAGGGCTAAATAGCAAGTACTTTATCGAGTAGCACAAAAGGAGCCACAGCCAATAAATAGACAAGTAAGCATGGAGGTATCCAGTAAAATTTTACTTATGGTCACTGAAATTTAAATTTTACATGAAACATTATTATTTTTTCCAGCCATTTAAAATGTAAAAACCATTCTTGGTTTGCATAATGTGTAAAAATGGACCAAATTTGGCCCATGGACCATAAATTTGCCAATACCTATTGAGAGAGGTGATGATGAAGTGGACAGGTAAGTAGGTAGGTAGATATATCAGTAGGTAGGTAGATAGATAGATAGATAGATAGATAGATAGATAGATAGATAGATAGATAGATAGAGTAAATGTGATGATGTACAAATTGGGTGATCTGAGTGACAGGTATATAGGAATTCTTTGTATTCCTTTTGTAACTTTTCTATGAATCTGAAATTATTTTGAAACAACAAAGCACAAATGACAAAAAGAAGAAGTCTATACTTTTCATAGCTGAGAAGGTAAAAGCATTAATCCAATCATTAGCCTAAGACATGAATGTCTTACCTTTTAGAATAATCAGATAGCAACCCCCACCTACTTTTCCCCCCATGCATTGACAATTAGTAGGAGCTACTAATGACATTGTATGCTTTCTAATTTTCCTGGGATCATATGTATGCAACATCATATGATAACATTATTTTGCTCCTGCTCGTCCTTGCTCTCCATCACTCTTTGTGAGTAATGAGGTCACTGTTCTGGTAATTTGTGAGTGACCTTGTAATTTACTATAATGTAGGAATTTTTTCACCTGCTATAATTAAATGGACTAAATAAAAGGTGCTTATCAGAAAATGCTTCATTAGCTTGGAAGTCTGTGACAAATTCTTTCTGATGCCCTTAATGTGTTGTTATGAAATTGAATTACACAGCACATCGCCTTGCCAGTTTCACTAGCCATAATCTAGTGATAGCTAAGGTGAACTGTGACTGAACATATCTTAAAATATTACAAATCAGAATTGGGTAATTTTTATTTTCAGGCACTTTTTATACAGAAAGAATGAATGGCTTGCAAAGAAAGTCTCTACTGCATAGACTTATAATCTTATTCTGCCATACTTTCCCGGGTTAATGCCAACAGAATTCATTTCCTATCTTGGCTTATCATTGTAGATAAAGCACATTTTGATCTTCATTAATAATGAAGATTGTGGTCTTAGCTGAAATTTATTGAATTCTCACTCTACCTACATACATACCAAATATATTTTCATCCTTTTTTTGTCATTTATTATTTACTTTTTACTGATGAGGCTTAGTGATATGAAATAACCTGGCCAAGTTCTTAAATTAGGAAACTTCAAGCTGGGATTGCCCTGGAAAGCCAGCACTCTTAGTTATTGGTTGGGATTGTCTACCATTGTAAATAAAGACACTGGATATTAATTTCTAGACATCTTATCTTTCTGAAATGTGAAGGAGGAATAATGAAGATCCTCTTTGTGGAAACTCCAGGGAATTAAAACTCCAAGGGAAAGGTAAAATATGTATATGGTATTAGAGACATGTTGCTGATTCACTTTTTTCTCTTCTTTTCAGGGACTGGTTAAATATGTTGAGTCCACCAATTGTTCCTCCCAGTCAGCATTCAGCAGAGCTGCATCCAGATTCTTCTGGAAGTTTGAGTGCGCAAGGTGGGAATATGAAAAATGCTATGCATAAAAAATAAAAATAATTAACTAGAAACAGAAAATCAGTCATTTGAGATGCCACTGATTTTATTATATGCTGATCACTTAGGTTCACACACAAAATGAGGTAACCTACGCCTCATTTTAGAGGATGATAATAAGTTCTTTGCAACTACAAAGAATGTAAGAGAGAAATTGGCCTTATTTTTCTAAAGGTTAATCCCAGGGCAAAATATAGTTTAAGACATAAGAACATGACTTTTGTATCAGAATGACCTGCATCTGAATTACAGTCCTGTCATCCCTGCTGTGTGAACTTTATGAATTTTGGTTACTGCATTTATATAAGATGACTAATACAGAGCATCCCTGATGGCACAAGGGGTTAAGTCGCAGCACTATGAAGCTATCCACAGCCACTGAAGCAGATCCCTGGCCAGCCAGGGAGCTGATCCACATGGCTCAGCAGACTTCTCCTGTCTCACCTGCTGCTTCCCTCAGCAGTGTATTTCAGTCAGTCTGCCTGTTCTATTCCCCATTCTGTTTCTGGTGAATCCTCTCATCCCCTTCACTTCTGGCCTGTATTCCAGTTCTTACATGCATAAATAAATAAATCTTTAAATGATAATAATAGTAAGACTAATACAATAGATAAAACATCCACCAAAAACTTTCTTATCATGATTCAGGGGTATACTGTGTACAAAGCACCTGAGAGTACCTAACAGATATTAGCTCTTAGTATTATTATAAAGCAGACCAATATTCCACCATCAATGAGATACATATTTTCATTAATAGAAACACAGTCTTTTCATTAAAGCAAAGGCTGGCACAGAGCTACAATGGGTAGTATTAGTAATAGAAAAATTGAAAGGATGCAGGAATGAAAATTTGCCTGGGGTTGCCTGTGTTGGCTAAAGCCATAAAGATGAACTATCAATTTCTAGTTGTAGCTAGAATATGACTATTAGAGTGCATGGAGGAGAAACAAAAAAGAACCTTTGGTGAAAACAGAGAGTTTGAGATAGTAGGGGTGGAGGGAGTCTAAAGTGCATAATTAGTGTGACAAATAACCTGAGAGTCGGACTCCCTGAGACAATTTTAGAGTTGAATTTGGAAGGTGGAGGTGCTATATCTGAAGTAAAAAAAAAAAAAACTGAAGCCAATATAAATTGCTTCAACAAAGGTGCCAGGTTTTTTTTTGTCCCCTAACTGCCCCAGGGAGAAAGTGGAGCATCCCATTTTTCTTCAGGTATGGAGAATTCAGAGCAAGAGCTCATACATCTGAGTTACACGTTTTGGCCACCCAAGGGATGAAGATGTCTCTATGATTTACTATCTGAAATAGATTATGCCCCTCAAATTGGGAATCTTTTTAGAGGTGTACATTTATAATTACTTATGACAGAAAAATAGAATCTTGGCTGTCAGGAGGAGACCTTGCTGTAAGGGAACAAATAATACGTTATGATAAGTGTCCTAAATAAGCCACAGGAACTGAGAGCATGGTCCTTGAGCAAAGGCACCTGAGATATATTTGTGATAAGTACCTGAAAGGATATCTTAAAGTCACCATTGCAAAGTGACGTTTTGACAGCAGGAGCTTAATTATGTTGAAAGTAAACAGAACTTCCATCGAGGGAAAATTAACAAATTAAATTCAGAGGATTGTAAACATGTTCTGGCCAGCATTATCTGGTCTTGTACTCCTTCTGCCTGTCACCCTAGATTTTTGTCAGTTTTCATTTCCTCAGTTTTCATCTCTGATATACTTGTTTGTAGTTATTTAATACCATCAAAAACTAGTGTTTCTTATCTGGCTCATCTTTCTATGTTACTGGCATAGTCTATACTTAAAAATATACTGAGACAGAATTACCATATGTTCTAATAAATGTTTGTCAAAGAAAAATAATGGGCTTCAATAGCCAGCTTGGGGCACACTAGTGGGTTTCTGGTGCCCTGTACCACTGAGTTAGCACTTCCTCTATGTCAGGCACTGTGCTAAATTGTTGCATTTAGCCCTCACAGCAACTCTATGAGAAAGGTACTATTATTGTGTGTATATTTGTTGTTTTTTGCTGCTAAAGAAACTGAGGCACAAAGTGCTTCAAAATTTGCCTAAGGTCACAGGACTGTCACTGGCAGAACTGGGACTTGTACCCAAGCAGCCTGGCCCCAGAACCCAACCACTGCTTTTATACTTTTTGGTTTTAAGCCAAATAAATAGATTACCTACTAAAAAAAAAAAAAAAAAAATTGTATGTGTGAAGGAGGGAGGAGAGGCATCTCCAGGCATTAAAACATTATTTTCCCGCTGAGTGTTTGAACTACAGGATAACGAAATTAAAATATCTCAAGGGTTAAGTTGCGTGGTTCTTTAAAGAAAAAAAAAAAAAGCAGACCTCCAGTCACCTACTTAGACCCTGGACTGGCCTCCCTCTCCCTCTCATGCTTATCAGAAGTGTCAGGTGGCCCCGGGTCCCCCAGAGGAGTGACTGAGGGGTGCAGGGCCAAGGGGATAAGGAGCAGAACGAAGGACACCACCACAGAACTGCAATGTCTGAGTATTTGCATGTTGTAGCCCATCTTTTTAAAGGCCTTTCTAGATGATCTTGTGTCTAAGTAGGTCTCTCACTTAACCTTGTACAATTTCTTCATGGTCTTTTGAGTTTGTAATTTGTGGTTTGCTTACTGCTTTACTGTCTTTCTTTCTAAATAGCCTATGCTTTTTTTTTTTTTTTTCAAGATTTATTTATTTATACAAGCACTGGGTATAGTCAGAAGTGCAGGAGGATGAGAGAATTCACCAGAGCCAGAGCGGGGAACAGAACAGGCAGACTGACAAAATACACTGCTGAGGGGAGCAGCGGGCGTGGCAGGAGAGGTCTGTGCGCCATGTGGGACCCTCACCCGGTGGCCAGGGATCTAACTGGCGCTGCAGAGGCTGCGGGCATCTACGCAATCCAGCGCTCAACGGCTGCGCCACTGGGGAGGCCCTAGCCTATGCTTTTTTAAGAACAGAAACTTTGTCAGTTTTCTCACTCCTGGATCCCTAGTACTTCTCTACAATTTCTGGTTATAGTAGATACCCTCCAAATTCTTTTTACAGTGAGGACAAGGAGGAGGAAGGGATGAAAAGAGGAAGATAAATGTTCTTCAACTAGTCATTTCTTAGTAACAACCTGGAGTTGGTTGGGGGTGGCATAGGGTCATTCATTGTAATCTGATTTTCGATTTTCCCTCAATTCCAAATTTTTTTGTATATTAGATATATTCCTAAAATTCAACAATGAGAGTATTGAACTTGGACCCATGCATTTTAGCAGTTAAAACACCTTATGCAGTGCATATATAAGCAATGTAAAGGTGTCTTTTAAATGAAATCTTCATATGGAATCCCAGTTTATAAAACAAATAAAGCAGAACTCCTCTAGCTAAAGAGGGAATTAGGGTCTCAGAACCCTCCCTGGGGCTCTGATGAACCAGTTAAAAAACACTGATGTAATCCGACCCCCTCCATTTGCCTGAAGAGGTAAATGAGTTGACAAGATCAAAGGTTCAATCAGAGCCTGAGCTAGCATGGAGAACCAGGTTTCCTCCTCCTCAGTGCCTTTCTGCACAGACATTGCTGGGACATGAAGGCTTATTCTCAAAGAAAGGGGGTGTCTCTGATCCTCAGACTTCTGGAATATAAATAATAACTAATGTTTAGTCCATCTTCCAGGGTCCCAGGCCCATCTGCACAATAATACAATAGTCACTGGGTGCCAGTACTAGTGTTACTTATTATTATTCCATTTTTCACATGGATGGTGGGACTTAGAGCAGGGAGCCCTGTGCTGAGCCACAGATGGAGAGGCCACAATGCTCCCATGCAGCTGGAGGCATTCACTACATTTTAACAGGGAAAGATGGCCTGACTAACATAATTCCAGAAAACTTTCCCCAGGCCCTACAAACATAAATGCATGTGTGGCCCTTGAGTCCCTATTTTACTCAGTACAAGTTTGTGTACCAGTTAAAAAACACTGATGTAATCCGACCCCCTCCATTTGCCTGAAGAGGTAAATGAGTTGACAAGATCAAAGGCTTGTTTGTTTGGAGTCAGTTTCTAGTTGGCCAGAATGTGTCTCAGGTGTGTAAGTGCCACCTTAAAAGTGAACAGCTGGCTTCTAGCAGAGCCCAGCAGCCAGCAGGAGCAGCACTGTGCTCAGTGCCTTCCCACTGGACAGAAGAGCAGGCCATGGTCTCCATTCCTCATGGGCCATGATATACTTGCTGAATATCAGTTACCATGGGCACAGGTGCCTGAACACTTACTAAAAATTGTGTTTTCCTCGAGCTCATGTAAAATGTAAAAAATGGGAAGTTAAGTTTTCAGAACCTAACTCAAGAAAACTACCAAACTGACCTTTAAAAATGAACTGAACGTTGCTTGAAGAATAGTCGTCAATTTGTTTTTGACATTTGTTCCTTTACAGATATGACCCTTAAATTATTCAGGCTTACCAGCTCCAAAATGGAATAATAATGATCCCCGCTTTGGGTCTGTAAACCTCTCTTACAGTTTCCATGGATTTTGACTAAGAAAAGTATTCAGAAGAGTTTTTGGAATTGCCAGTCTCAAAAAAACAAGTTACTTCTTTTTATGGTGAGGGAGAAAAAAAATCTCTTTTGAGAATTTTTCCCCCCAAACTGACCTTTCCATGACTACATGGTCTGCACTGATGCTCCATCTGTGATTTGAAAATTTCTCAAAAAGAAATTTCAATTTAAAGTAATTTCAGATGACTAAGGCTTCCAGAAGACGGAAAAGTCTAAAAGCCTCCTGGACAGCACAAGCCTGCGGGCTACAGAAGGGAACTTTCCTTTGATCCTGATTTCAGGTTCGCCCTCAGCATTATCTCCTCGCCTGTTGTCCAAAGTCCTCTACCTTTCTGGCTTTCTATCCATAGAAAATAAACCTCCAAACTCCACCAGGAGCAGGAAGAGGCAGG